TTTCGTCAATATCAAATTTCACAAGTCCATAGATGTGTGTGTGGGAGTTGGTACCTTAGCATGTGCAACTATTAATTGTTTTATGACAAATAATAATGAAAGAACAGTAGAAGAATTTATTGCATGTTGACTAATCATCTTCCCATTTCACATGGACACACAAAAATAATTGGCATCATATTGACTCCATTCATCCAAGAACACATTATTATTATTATTCATTCATCCATTAGTTGAGTTCTTCTATTCATCATTTTCAAATCCTTTAAGCTATTGATATTGTCTTCAGACATTGTGAAAATCTTTTCATATTAGACAAAAACAAACTTTGTTTTTCTTAACTTGTTCTTGGCTTTTGCATATACAACCAGTGCCATTACATCTTCTTACTGCATTTTCCTTTCATTCATGCACATAAACCCACCCTAGTTGTATTTTTTATTTTTCTTTTCAAAGCCTGTTTCTTTTTCATTGCGGCTCTTGATAGAAAATGTTTGGTATAATGTGATTTTTCAAAATATTAACTAGAGACGTACTATGAAGAAAGTACCACATACCTGTTGGATGATGGTTGACCCTATTTGGTAAGTTCATATCCTAAATGATGATTGACCTCCTTTCTTCTTTATTTATGGAAGCAGCTTCCTTGGCTATGTCGATAATCGTCATTGTAAAATTTGATGAAGGAATTTAAATTGATCAATGGTCCAACAAATCTTTATTATTGTGGATGTCCATTGAAGCGAATTTTGGTACGGAAAAATGGTTAAAATGACAACAAAACTTGAGAGTTTCAACATGATCAATAATAAGAGCTATTTAGAGAAAATAATGGTTTGTAATACTCGAATTTCTGATATGGAGGATCATCTGTAAGATGCAACCATAGAGCATACTCTCGTTGTATTACCAATCGAGCTCTAGAGTAGAGACTCGTGCTGATAACGTGTTATAAAACTAGAGGAAAAGAGAGAGAATAGAGAAAATGTATTCTCTTAGGTACAATTTTCATTATAACTGAAGCTCCTATTTATAGGAAACTTCTGATAACACAACCGTAATAATACAATTACATTATGGGAAAAATAGTCATTCACATATATTATTTTATAAATATTTCACAACAAAAACGTCTATTAAATTAGTGATTTAAAGAGACAATGAACCAACTAGTTGACTTTTGAACATAAAAAACTAGTTTCGTGGAAAAGTAAAGTTGTAAGAATAGTCAAGTGCTGATTTTTTTTTTGGTACATGGACCTTCCGGTTTCTAGATCCACAGGGGAATCGACTAATCCGGAATCCAGTCGGGTAGGACCACAATGACCACATTGCTGATTGATTTACATGGAAATGCTATCAACCGTACCATCCCGTCAAGAGCGTTAGATTTATCTATATTGTATTAACAACATGTGTATCTAACGGCTAAAACTCCCGACGGGATAGTACAGTAACAGAATCGTAGCATTTCCTTTAATCACATCCAAGTTGCAGAAAATTGTAATAGGTTCTTAATTACTCCCATTTATGCAAAACTTCGTTCCCAAATCCCCATATCTCATAACGTGTTGATCCTAAGTGACAAACTCGCATATTTAGAGATCCTATGTAGCAAAAATACATGCTTTATTTATTGAATTTAATACATTATATCTCATTCTTTGATAAATAAAAGAGATACATATTGAATATACGTGTTTGTTATTATGTTCGAATTAAAAGTACAAATAATAATTGAGGTCTGCTTCATTTAGTAAGTCAATAAAAAATAAACTTTCCTCTCGCAGTCCAACTCAATACACATAAAGTGTACTTGTATAATTAATTAGCTGAAAAAAATAATTAATTTCACATTATACCACAACCAATCCAATAGTTTGTCCATTGTTATCTTGTTTGTGAACTATATTTATATTTTATAAGGAATCAATAAATATGACCTTCCATGCGTCTCAACTCACCATATTATCTATAATATGAACATTACCATATTTAAAATAAAATGCAAGCAAGTTCGACAATAAATGTTTCTCTATTAGAAATGAAAATAAGATCAAATCAAAGCAAAAACTTTCAATATAAAAACAAACAAATATATAGTTGGGTAGCTCTTAAGCCTCTTGTTCGATTGTTGATGATTGGTGGAGGAGAATTGAAAGTGGTCGATTGACGAGGGAAAGAAATGCTGGCAGATTTCACGCATCCTGCTTCGAAGTAGCGTGTGCAGTTTCGACGTGAGTCCCAGCAACTAGCATGCACCCATCAGCAGATCCCGTCGAGCTGAGTGTGGGGTGAGTGTGCAGTAGTGTTTGGTCCAACATATAACCACACAAGTCCTAGTGAATCCACAGAAGTCCTAGTGCACCACCTTGCGCTTGTTTGTCCGGAAGGCTCCTGAGTCAATTTCGACCTAATTCTTCGAATAATTTGCCCACTTCAACTAATTTTCTGCCATTTTCACATATATTTACTTTCTAAAGAATATACAACTGTTTTTTTTTTTAATCAAATCCATAAAAAACAACATTTGTCATAGCTTATTAATTTAATAAATTAATAAGTAAAAATATATGAAAAAAATATAATAAAACAAACACGAAAATCACACGTAAAAATGTCTATGTTACAACCTAACATTAGTATTTTTGTATTTATATACAACAAGTGTAAACTTAAAATACATATTAATAGAGTAAATATATATATTTTTTTTATTCTATCTCTTAATTACAATATTTTAATGTGAGAACATTAATTATATATATATATATTATTTAAAAAGCTACATTATACTAGCACAACTAGTATGTAACCCGTGCGATGCACGGGCTGTATTTAATTTAGAGAATATTAAAAATTAAAATGTATTAATAAATCAAAGAGTGATAATTCGTAGGAAAATTATCAAACCATAAAGTGTTCCTTATGCAAAAAAATATATTATTTAAACTTTCTTGTACACAACATTATTTGTTCAATAACTGAGCAACTCGTCGTCCCCACAAACTAATATTTTCAACACTTTTATATTACTTACACGCGAAACAAACAACATAATTGTTCGTGACTAAAAATCGATTTCTTTAAAAAATGTCAACGTATAATAAATGTTGACCTTGATTCTTCTTGATCTATTACTTAACATGCCAACGTACAATAAATGTTGATCTTGACTCTTCTTTACCTATTACTTATACGTGTAACAACATACAATTGGTCGTGATCAAAAAAAGTTTTTTTAAGAACATGTCAATGCACATCTCTTATCTATTATTTACACGTAAAAACAACAACATATAATCGGTCGTTGCTAAGAACCAATTTCTTTAATAATATGTCAACGCACATAAAGATTGACTCTGATCTTAATTGAAACCCTAAGATTTAAAGTAACTGGTGCTCTAGCATTTAAATGAAATCCTAAGATGGATCTTTTAATTATAATATGATAATTTACTTAGGCAGTCAGACAATGAGCTTGTAGTTTATTATCGATTATACTTGATTAGCTTTATAATATTTACTAATATTTCTATATTTTTTATACAAAAAGACTGACCATGACCGTTAAACGGAACCCCAAAATCAGAAGGAACTGGTGCCTCTGGAACTTAAATGGAAGTCTAAGATGGATCTATTTATAATATGATAATTTATACAACAGTTGGACAAATGAATTGGTGTATGTATATCTACAAAAATATACATGAAAAATACAAAATATTAAATACTACATTACACTAATTTTATGAGAGAGGTTATATATAGTAGATATAAAATATAAAATATTAGTGATTAGACATTACTTCAGGCTAATTTTTTCAAGTCGAACAATTTTAATTTGAATGTGTGACAACTTGTTATATATTTTCAAACTGAACAATTTTTTAATTGGACAACTTTCTTATTATATGTGTGACAACTTTTTAGGTAGTAAATTTATATATATATATATATCAACTTCAAAATCGGTTTGTTGGATCGACTCACGGAGTCCAATGTACCCCTGAAGAGTGCCATATAATAATTTTTGTATATTGTAAATTGTGTTCAACTTTAGTGGGTGTTGAAGATGTGTGTTGAAGGGGTCCAAAAAAAAGAATGAAAGTGAATAGATGTAGTGTTATCATTTTATATAGAATTTTTTTTTTAAAACGTGGGTAGAGATTAGGATGAATCTTAATTTTGTTGAGTATTTTATGCTTCAAAGTGATAAAGATGAATTTTTATTTGGTCCTCTAAAGGGATAAGTTGTTGAGTATTTTATGCTTCAAAGTGATAAAGATGAATTTTTATTCGGTCATCTAAAGAGATAAGTTCCTAATTTTCGGTCATTCAACAACTTTCCACAAATAGAAAGTGAAAATATTTTTTTAAAAGTTTCCACAATTGATTTATTTACTTCCCTCTTTCAATATATATAGATATAGTCTACATACCCTCCCTGTCTGCGCACCTTCCGTGTTCAGAATTATATATGTTGTGTCTTACCAGTCGTAACGGATCTCACACAAAGTTCTCGTGCTTGGTCGTTGCATTCATCACCGGCACCATCAAAATTTAATGATCTCCGGCACCATCAAAAGTTAATGATAAGCTAAAAAGAAAGGAAAATTAATTAACAGCAGAAGAACAATGAAGATGAATTCCCGGATATGGAGCCGCCTGCCGGAGCACCTCCTGGAGCGCGTCCTCTCCTTTCTCCCCCTCAAAACCCTCCTCACCCTCAGATCCACCTGCAAACACTTCAACTCCCTCCTATCCTCCCCTCTCTCCGCCTTCTCCTCCCGCCGCCGGCCGCCCCTCGCCTCCCTCATCCTCCTCTCCCACCCCCAATTCTCTCGGATATGCCCCCTTCTCAACGCAGCAACAAGCTCCTGGAACGGCGCCTCCCTCTCCCTCCCTCCAAATCTCCCCTCCTCCGCCCTCGTCTCGTCCGCCGGCGGCCTCCTCTGCTTCTCGTCCCCGAGCTCCTCCTGCTTCGTCGTTTGCAACCCCGTGAGCCGGTCCACGCGCCGCGTGATGTTCCCCATCTGCCCTTTCCACTTCGAGCTGGCCACGCTGGTCCCCGCTCCCGACGGCTACAAGCTGTTCGTACTGTCCGGCAACGCACTCGTCTACGACTCCACCGCCGAGTCCTGGCGGGAGTATTCAGGTCGGTGCCGGAAATCACCAGTAATTCAATTTTCGATAATTTATTTAAAAAATTTTAGCCCCAAATTATGGTATTCTCAATCCGCTTAGGTTACAATCGGATGCTCGAGGACAACCATCATCAAAAGGGCGCCCTTCACAATGGTCTCCTTTTCTTCGCCACGCCTGAGCCCTTTCGAGTGGTGGGCTTCCATTTAGAGACAGGGAACTGGGAAACTTTGCGGGCCGGGCTGCCAGACGAGCTGACTTTCGTCCGCCTGGCGAGTGATGGGGCCAGCAAGCTGTACCTCATTGGTGGAGTGGGGAACAACGGTATCTCGAGGAGCGTGAAGGTATGGGAGTTGGGAGGGGATGTCGGGGCTTGGGTCGAGTTCGAGACACTGCCCGAGACTGTGTGCCGGAAATTCTTGTCCATTTGCTATCACAATTACGAACACGTGTACTGTTTCTGGCAGCAGGGCTGCATTTGTGTCTGCTGCTATACATGGCCCGAGATACTGTGCTACAAGGTGTGTAGGAGGACTTGGCATTGGCTGCCAAAGTGCCCCTCATTGCCCGAAAAGTGGAGCTGTGGGTTTCGGTGCTTCTCGTTTGTGCCGGACCTCTATGCTGCCGTGTAGATGGATTCATTTTTACTCCGTACCTCTGGATTTGTTGCTATGTGTTTTATGCCCACATTTGGCAAGTGACATTGCCAGACAGTAAATCCTTTCGGAAGGGGAAAATACATACGAATGCAATGACAAATGTTCGACACACTCAAAGATACTTGTTCGGCTTACAAGAACATGGAAATTTTTGCTAATGTTGGAAAAATCTTGCAGAAAAAAGAAGAAGATGGAAATTGGAAAGTAGTTACATTGCAGGACATGCTTGGTGTATTTGCCTGAATGTATTGAAAACTACTAGAATTTCTTTATGAAATTCAAAAGGAATCTGTTTAGATACTATGTTTACCAGATCTATTTGTACTGTCTATATGTAGTGTCCTTTATATGAGAAGGCTCAACCTAAATATGAGATTAATTGTACTATCCTCTATATAATTATATTTATATGAGAAGGCTTAAACTATATATTAGACCATGACCAGCAAGACCCTTTATTGCTGATCACTCAAATCAGATTAGATTAATAACCACCTGAGGTTCTTAGGTATGATCGTGAAAATCACAGACCCATCTCGCCCGAAAAAGGATTCATTACAAATACGACCAAACATCGTTTTGCATTCAAATAGTTTGACAAATTGTTGAAGTTGAATATGATCCAGAGCTGGGACTCTTACAGGGTAGCATACAACACTTGTGCACTAGTTTTAAATTCTTGTCTTATTATTAAAAGTTTTAGGTATGCAAATTTTGATATATCTCGCGACTGACCTAAACCATTGGACGCGCGCAGACGGTAAGCAGTAACTGGAAACGGCATTTAACAATTAAAAGATTCGTCCGTTATAATTTAACTGGTTTCTAAACTCTTCTGTTTGAAAATGCTTTCGCATGAGATTCTGCATATCGTCCGATTTTCTAGGCTGCATCGGAAATAGGTTCAATGATGAATTCCTCGAGAGCACCAACATTGTCCAGAACAAACAGGTCAGTTATATCGAACGTAACTCCCCCATCTTGTTCCGGCTATTGCAAGTATCCCGAGAGCTTCAACTTTCTGAGATTTTGTCTTCCATGACAGGAGAAAAGCACAAGCACTGCAGAACAATGGATAATGCCTGTGTTGCCAACTTTTGTTGAGGAAAGATGATTTATAGTCATTTTTTTTAACTTACACAAACCATTTCTGTAAGTTTTAGGATACACAAATGGAAAAAATAGCTATCACATCATGTTTCCACAAAAACTGATTCAACTTAGACTAGCTAGCTTTTGTTAATATAAATTATACTTTTTATCTATATATTTATTTTATTGTGAAGATATTTTTAATTGTGTTTTTTTTTTTTCAACTACTTATTTTATTAAAAAAATTACTGTCATATTAAAATTTGTTATTTTAATTTAAACTAATAATAGTTGGCCATTTTTGTTTTATGAATTTTTAAGTCTTACAGTTTTTGTAATGTAACTTATCCAAAATCATATATCTTTTAAATCAAATATTGTATGCATTTCAATTTAAAGTTTCGCATTTAATATGCACTACTAAAAATATCTGCTAGAGTTCGTCTCATATCGTTTATATAGAAAAAATAAGAATAATTTATAAGTCTAATAGACTACTCTTCTTACCACCAATTGCCTTGGGATGGAACTCACTTGAGTTTCATCTGGATTTTTCCTGCCTATGGTGTGCTTCACGTGCGTAGGACCGCACCCGTTTTTTTCCCCCGTTTCTTACAGCTAGTACTCACTTTTAAGTCAAAGTTTTATAGCTTCAACCATTTGATCCCAAACAATTAAAACCAACCTCTTTAACATTTTCAATACACTATCTTAACCTGTTCTACCAAATATATCTTGCCCATATTTTCTTTTATTTATTTATTTTTTGTTTGATTTCAATTGAATGTTACATATCTACAACACAATAGTTAGCATGAATGTACACGCATGGTGAGAGTGATTACAGGAAAAAAAGGGAGCAAAAAGAAACCATAAACAATTGCTACAGTAGTGGTTGGAAAATGTGTAACTTTATAAATACATAACAAAATGTAGTACTAATAAAGATGTAATTAATTCCACAATTAAACCTTAAACACTCTAAAAAATAAACCAAAGCCAATAGAAATAATCAGAAAATTATTAAAATCGACAACTAATTAAACTAGACCGAATATATATTACGAAATAATTTATATTTAGATGGGTTATTTTAGTTGTTACGTACACTTAAGGCTATGTCTGGTAAAACAAGCTGATAAGCTAGTTGATAGCTGACAAGCTTATCAGTACTTTTCGAACTTATAGCTTAAATTTTTCTCATAAATAAATGACAAAACTCTATTTTGAAATAAATACCCCCTACTCCAAAGCACTTGGATTCCTTATAAGAAAAGCCATTTTGTGACCAAAAAAATTAAAAAAAAAAATAAAATCCCTATAGCTATTCAACTCTTCTCTATCGTTTCGAAAAAAAAAAAAATCCAACTCTTCATGGAAAGCCAAGGAGAAGTTTCTCATTATATGTGTACAGAAAAGAGTCTCAATTCTCCATTAGCTGCAAAAGATAGTTATTTTTGTGCTAATGACAACATATTATACCAAAGTCAGTTGAACAATAATGTGACAAATCTTGCACCTACAGCCTTCTTTGAGCAGCCTCATGCTTTTTCGAGCTTACATGCCGAAGCTCTTAGCCACATGGAACACGAACGAGACGAACATGTTAACTCATCGACTGCTAATTTGAGTGATTTGCAGTTGATTGTGAGCTCATGTGGAGGCGAACAGTCAGCGGGAGATGATGACGACGGCTCTTGTGCTTATTCTGTCAAGGGTTTTTGGACAGTTGAAGAGGATAGGTAAAGAATTATAATATATATATTGATTTTTTTTTTTTTGGTTAGTAGGTTTTTATTTAATTTTTATTTAATTTTGCTGGACACATGCATGTAGAAAATTGATTAAGCTGGTTAGGCAATATGGACTAAAGAAATGGGCTCTTATAGCTGATCAAATGGATGGACGAATCGGAAAACAGTGTCGCGAGCGATGGCAGAATCACTTGCGGCCTGATATCAAGGTTAGATTCATATATATTCATCAACTTCTTCTTCTTTCTTTTCTTGATTTTTATTCTTTTTTTTTTGTTTTTTTTTTTTTTTTTTTTTTTTGCTTTTCCTTTTTATTTGGTTGGATCATACCGATCTTTAGCTACTAATTACTTACTGCAGATGAATTCGTGTTTTTATTTTATTTATTTTTTTTCGGCGTATCATTTTCGTTATATAACGTGGCATCTAAAATAGTTAATTTAATTAAGGACTAGTAAGTAGAAACTAAACAAGCAATTTATAAATTCTTTGTACGTTGCTTTGCAGAATTTTGTTCATCCTCTGCAATTTATTTTGGTAGTTTTCTTGCTTGATATTTTACCACATTATGAGATATAATGGTCCGGCTGTGAATGGCGAAAGTCTTACTCGATTGTGCAATTCAATGATGAAGTTCGATCGTTTTAGCACAGATGAATTTAATCATGATCTATATCCTTATGTGCTTACCATATGAAGATTTATGTACATTAATTCTTATGAAGATTTTTAGCAACATATTTGCTATATAGCCATTAATGTTTCTGATATTTTCTTTAGGGTTCTTCACTTGTATTACTTTGTTTTTCTATGAGAGTCAACATTCATGTGGTTGAACAACTTTTTGCATATAAAGCCCACCAATTTGTTGCAAAGGCACTGAATTTCATGTTTCTATATAGAACAAAAACATTGGAATTTTGCTTGCCTTCAACCTCTTCCCTCCAACCTTGACCCCACCCTTGTGTCTTTACTTGATTAATTTTATTATGATTTCATAATATAATAAATAAATATTTATTTAATATATATTCATATAGTGATTATATGTGATCAAAAACAAAAAATGCATGCTTTTCAGAAAAGTCTAGTTTGGACGGACGACGAAGAGAAGCTGATAATCTGGGCCCACGAGAAATTCGGCAACCGTTGGGTCGAGATTGCGAAGTGCGTACCGGGCAGAAGCGAAAACGCGATCAAGAACCACTGGAACGCAACCATAAGGAAACAAACGTCGAAAAGAAAGATTCGAAAGCCAGAGAGACTTCGAGGCCTAGCGCAGTCGACCGTCTTGGAAGAGTATATCAAGAAGAAGTATTTCGATGATAACGAATCTTCTCCCTCGACCAACATGGAAACCGAAAACAACAACAACAATAATAATAAAATTAATGATAATCGTTTGTCGCATAGCGATAGCCTAATCAATGAAGACGGGCCGAGTTATCATCTCACGGCGTTGGAGACGTTCGAGGAGGAGATGAACTTCATGAAAAACCTATTTCCTAATAAGGACAATGTTATAAGCTGATGATCTGACATTTCTGTTGAGAGCAAACAATGACATTAATCCAAGACTAATTTTATAGGGTTTTGGGACAAAAATGTTGATGATTATGATAATGTTGGCTTTTGCCATGTTTGTTGAGAATTGTAGTAAATGATAATAATAATAATAATAATAATAATAATAATAATAATAATAATAATAATAATAATAATAATAATAATAATAATATTGTGTTGTGGTTTCTCCTGATGTATGTATTCTTATGGTTTTTCGGTCAATTTATTTTTGTTCATATATTGGAGCTCCTTTGACGAAAATTTTGTTTGCTTTTCATGGAAAATGAAAGTAAAAGGCCATCCAGATGGCTAACATCCCATGCATTTTGCATTTTTTGTTTTTATGGTGACTTAATTTGGTTTTATTGTGTCTGCATATTTAGTGATGCTGTGATGTCACCTTATATGACTTGGAAATCTTAGTAAACAGATAAAGAGCATATCACATTTTACAAATTTTATTATTTTAATAATAATAATAACCTATTTAACTTACGTATAAACTAACACACGTACCCGTGCGATAGTCTTTAATATGAACAAATAGTCTTATATATTCAGGCAAAATAGCTCGTTATATCACGACCTTTTACCATATTGCTAAAACATCGCGATTTTTGGACCTTGGCAGAGAATATCACAACCTTTGATTTTTTTGCAAAACGATACACGAAAGTCAGAAACCGGCCATAGTTGATACACCATGGGAGAAGATTTGTATCTATTGAGAACAATACGGAGTATTTCGGAGGTGATGATACTTTCAGACTTTCGTGATATGATTTTAAATAATGTAACGATGGCCGGTGATATAGCCATACTGTCATATAGCGGCTTACGATGTCCCGGTTCGAATATCGAGTCGACTTACCCTAAGTCGACTCCTCTCACATATCTCCTCATAATGATACATCCGGCCGAAGGTCTGGATGCTTTTCTTAGTCGACTTCTACCCTGTCGACTAGATTTAAGTCGATTCCGTCTGGAAGGATAAATGAGTGTATTAGGGTCTACTAGCGAGTGGGGGATGACCCAGCTGGATCGAAAGCAAGGATGTCTCAAGTCGACTGAAGTAGACTCGGGACTCTCGAATCCCCGACGACTCCTATACACTTCAGTATATCAGAAGTAAGCTATTAAGGGATAAGGAAGAATCTAGATGCTGACTAGGAAGAGGACATAATACGAACCGACCAGGGTATTTTGGACATTTCCAGTAAGTCGGCCAGGGCATTTTGGGGACTTCAGGTAAATGTTCTACTTCTATATAAAGGAGCTGAGGTAACTCCAAAACCCTAACTCCCATTCATTCTACATTCTCCTCCATTGTTGCTGCTTCCTCAGAGCAGCTCTTTTCACTCTTTTCACATACTGACTTGGGCGTCGGAGGCTCTACGCCGGAAATCCCTCCGGCGTTGAGTTCTTGCAGGTGTTCTCGCGGTTCGATAACAATTCGGAGACCATCAAGACAGATCTGAGCTCGTTCTCGTCAGTTCATTTCAGATCTGGGCGATTTTTTACCGGTTCACCCCAGATCCGAGAATAGACCCATCATTTGGCGCCGTCTGTGGGGAGTTCTTGAAGGAATTAAGAGCTTTACACCTGGCTTTGATCTGTCTCCGATGGCTGAGAAGGAAGGATTGCAGAAAAACTTGAACGACGATTTCAGGGCAACGTGGACCGACAAACGACCTCCGCCGATCCCAGCGTCAGACCACCGCTCCAGGTGCTGGGATTTCCACCGTTCGAGATGCACGCGCCGGCGGGAGGGCGTGCTGGAGAAGAAACGCCTATTACCCCACCTGGAGTCAAGATCCCAGTTCTCACCCAGGGGGAGGCCAGTCACGTGAAGGACACGAGCGGAGAAGCAGATGGTCACGCATCGACCGAAACATCTTTGAGACTGGGGAGGCAGCCTGAACGACTTGATCAGGAGACAAGGCCACCACCCTAAATCGAGGAACAAACACTGACCATGACGAGAGGCGAGATGCAGAGGATGATTGCCGAAGCTGTAGCAGCCCAAATCAAATAAACTCGAGTCGAGCAGCCTAGGATCGAACAAGCTAGGGTCGAGCAGCCCCAAAATGAACAACAACCCCCAGAACGCGAACAGCAGGCGCAGTCGCATGAAAGGCAGAACAGGAGGGCAGATGAAGAGGAATCCTCTGTCAGGATTGTCAATCCACAAGCGAGAAATGACACCCTGGAGCAATTGTTAGCGCAGGTGCGAGATTTTGCAGGCTCGAGTAGAGGGGAGAAAAACAGGAAGCTCGAGGGGACACCCTTTTTCACAACATATTCTAGACGCCGACCTGCCTCAGGGGTTTAGAGAACTTAACATCTGGTACGATGGGTCGACTGACCCCTCTTGACATCTGAGGAGTTTTGAAAACATGGCAGTACTGCACCGCTACAATGATCCCGTCCAATGTCGAGTGTTCCTGACAACTCTGCGAGGGCCTGCGCAAGACTGGTTTCATCAGTTACCCCCAGGAGCCGTCAGGGACTTTGACGGATTTAGTTTGAGTTTCCTAAATCAATTCGCAAGTGTAAAAGCCCAAGAAAAATCTTACCTTACCCTGATAGACATGCAACAGAAAGAAGGAGAATCATTGAGGGATTACGTAGCAAGATACACGCGAGCATGTGTCGACGTCCCCTCAGCCACTGAGGAAATCAAGTCGGGAGGACTCACTCGAGGATTACTCCCGGGATTGTGCAGGAACTCCTTAGCGAAACGACTCGGAGGACGTTCGATGAAGTATTATGAAGGTGCGCCAAGTACATGAATGTCGAAGTAGCTGAAGCCGACTTTTTGCAGGCAACTAAAGCAAAAATTGAGTCTCGGGACGAGAAGAATGATAAGAAACCAACTGCAACGGGAGAAAGGAAAGGATCCCCGAAGTCGAAAAGGGAGGGGCGATCAAGGGGATGGAGGACAACTCAGTATACCCCCCTGATAGCCTCGAGCGCAAGGATATTGGAGGTAATGGAGAAAGAAATTCGCGAAAATGTGGTCAGGTGGCCACGGACGAGAAAAGATGGACCGACAAAGCCCAAAAGTGATCTGTATTGTCGATTCCACAAGGATTATGGGCATAGTACCGAGGAATGTCGGCACTTGAAAAAATCAAAGATCGAGAGGCTAATCAAAGCAGGCCATCTAAAGGAGTTCGTTTATAAAGATCGAGATCGAACCAGTCGGCGAAGGGAGAGAAGCAAGAGTCCTCGCAAGAGGGCGAGGACACCCGACAAGGAGGAGCTCCCTCAGAAAAGAGGAATAATTCATATGATATTCGGAGGGCCGACTGATGGAGACTCAAATCGGGCCAAAAAGGCATATGCTCGAGGCCGCCACGGAAAAATTGAAGTGCAACAAGTTGAGGAAAACGGTCCAATGATGAATTTCGGGCCAGCAGATGTGGGGGAGGTCGAGAGCCCTCACAATGACGCTCTAATGATCACTGCTCAGATATCAGGTTATGAAGTGCAGAGGATTTTTGTCGACACGGGAAGCTCAGTGAATGTGATCTTTTACAATTGCCTTAAACAGATGGAACTCGACATCGAGCTCGCACCTCTACACACCTCACTTTTTGGGTTTAATGGCTCAGAAGTCGCACCCCTAGGAGAAACCACACTTGCTGTCGTCCTCGGGGAAGGCAATTTGAGGAAAGTAAAAATGGTGCGGTTTGTTGTAGTCGACGTCGCGTCGGCTTATAATGTGATTCTAGGAAGGCCAGCGCTCAACGCATTCCAGGCGGTAGTGTCGACCCACCATATGAAGCTGAAGTTCCCCGTCGGAAATAAAGTAGGGGAGGCCAGAGGAGACCAGAAGCTATCAAGAACTTGTTACCAGATAGCTGTGAAAACAAACCAACGAACAGAAGTTGAGGAAAAGAAGCCGGCAACGAGCGAGAAAAGGCCAAAAAATAGTGATCTCGAACCGCACGGGGAGCTAATGGAGATACAAATCGGAGAAATGAAGGAACAGACCACCAAGGTCGGGAAAGATCTGAAAGACGAGCTGCGAAACCAACTCATCACACTACTAAAGGAGTTCAGGGATGTCTTCGCCTTCACCCCTGAGGAGTTGACGGGGATCGACCCCGCTATTATGGAGCATAAGCTCAACGTCGACCCCCTCAGAAAGCCAGTAAAGCAACGACTCAGACGCCATGGTGAGGAAATCGACAAAGCAATTGAAATCGAAGTAGATAAGTTGTTGCGAGCAGGACACGTCAAGGAGATCCAATTTCCTGAGTGGATATCCAACACCGTGATGGTAAGAAAGGCATTAAACAAATGACGCATGTGCATCGACTTCCGTGACTTGAACTTGGCCTGCCCAAAAGATCATTATCTCCACAAGACCACCATCCAACAAGGCCTGATCATATTCAGTCCAGTCGACCTTGGGGGTAGATACACGCGACGAAGAAGAAGGAGGAGAGACATGGACCATTCTACAACCAGTTATCTCGACCGAGTCCGAATCAGATTGGTTGAGACCCCTATCAATCAGTCTGTCAAGCGTGTCAGGGGAAGAGCTGGAATGGGAAGCTAGAAGAAAAAGGAAACAAAAAGCAAAGATCAGGCAGGATGAAACAAAATCGAGCAAAGTACAGTCGACTCGCTAAAAGTCGACGGAAAAATATATGATAAAAAATATGATGTGATTCGATTGGGGGCATAAGGTCAAGGCGACACGAGGCCAACTCGAGGGAAGTACAGAAGGGAAGAAGATGGATGTTGGTAAGAATCGACATGATGGAAGCCGACAAGTGGTTGCACGCTATAACTCAACCACACGTTAACAGCTGACTAAAATAAAGGATGTGTACACAAGATTCAACACAAAACTTTCAAGGAAAAATTTGAAGAATGCAAGAGAACGCGAAGAACACACAAAGATGCAGAAAAACTCAAAAAAACCCAGGAAAACAAAAAGAACAATGAATA